AGGCAGCCAACCCAACTCTGCCTCCATCTCCCCTTGTCCCTCCCCAGCATCTCCCCCTGCCCTCCTGTGCAGCAGAGCAGAGCTTTTCATTCTAATTCCTGTTCTCCCCTGAGGGACAGCCTGCACACAGTGGTCTCCATCGGCATGGAGGTCACTGGTGGGAAGCCCTGTACCCACCCCAGGGCAGTGTGAGTGTGGTACCGGGCTGTTCTCAGGGGCTGTGGGTGAACAGGAGCCTTTTCTACTTCTTGTGCTGGCTCAGATGAAGAGTCTCCTACCCCAAAGCCCAGCCTGGAACAGCAGAGATTGGCCTATCCGCATGGCAGAGGGACTTCTCCTGAAGGAAGTCTCTTGGGGGAATGAGCATGCTGTCCATGGGACCTGGGCAGATGCTGCTGGGTCATTTCACAACAGCCACTGCAGAGGGAGAGAATAACAAGAAGCTTCAGTCCCTCTTGGCTAGACACTTTCCAGTAGCCTGGAGACACCAGACTTCATTATTAGGGGCTTTGCAGAAGTCAAATGGTCAAATAAACAAGTTAAAGCTAGCTAGACTGCTGATTTTCCTAATCCCAGCAACAAAGATCTTGTTTGCCTTCTGCTCTTCAGGGAAATACCTTTCCTTCTCTGCTGTGTTGCTTTTACCACCTCATACACTCGGGGAACGAGCACCAGACAGCAAGTCCAAGCTTTGATTTACAGAAAAGACCCTCAATTATTGTGCCCAACGGACCCTCCGGGTCGTAAAAGACTGAGCCCCGATGGGAGGGTTTGGGAAGAGCTTCTGCTCTCAGCCCAGCCAGCCTGACTCTGGAGGAACTCTCTGGGTTCCAGCAGGTTGTGCAGAGACAAGAGCAAAGTTTTCTTTAGATTCTTTAGATTCAGCACACGAGGAATTCACGGGGCTGAGCCTTCGAAAGGAGGGAGAGAACCGGGCCCACGTTGAGCGGCGGTAATGAATTAAACTGAATTAAATGTTGATACATATTAGAGATATGTTAGTTACTATATAAAGTAATATGCCTAATTAGCCCAGGAAGTCTGTTAAATATTAGATGAGCTTACCAATGAGTTCCCCACCTCCGGGCCCCCGCCGGCCAGCGGGAAGCGAGGGAGCTGACATTTGTAGGGCTTCTCCCACGAGAACCTGGTGGTAGTTCTGATGAAAACCATGGACTCCATGAGCGGGCTTAAACTCCACCCCTCTAATTGCCTGGTGTGGTGAAGTTTTATAAAGTTTGCTGAGATGTCAAGGAGCCAACTGTGCCACAGCTTGCACCAGAGCCCAGAGAAACCCAGCTCGTTTCTCCACAGCTGCTCTGGTTTTCCAGCTGCCTGGGAACAGCACCGCCCTCAATTAGAAGTCGTTTAGTCCTTCTCAGGTGTCCTCACTTTGCTCCTAACCCACAGCTCTTACTGCCACTAAGAGTATTAGGAACGAAGCCCAGCCCTGCTTCTCAAACAGTCCCCTGTACCGAATTTAAGGGATGCTTTTTCAACAGAGCTTTCACGTTTACTCCTCCACGTGGCAAACTGCTTCCAGCGCCGTCGGCAGCAGCTGTACACGGATATCATGGCTTGTTGTTCAGACCCTGCTGGCTCGCTCTGAAAACATCTATTGGTCTTAACAGCAGCCACCAGCTCGGTCCAAGCTGACAGATGCAGGATGACTTTTGTTTTTATTCCCCTTGCGCTCTGAAATTTTCGTTTCAAAATGCAATATTGAATTGGCCTTGACAAGAACCAGGTGTTAATTCTGATCACTTATTTCGTTAGTAACCGTGTTACTCATCTCGCTCCGCTGTGGTTTTTTTCCTCCCCCAGAGTAGTTAAACTCAGTATTTTCACGCTCACAAAAGCACGGTCGTTTTGCACAAGACTAGAAATGTGATTTTTGCTGATGACAAGGTGATCGGTACTTTGAAGAAAGTTAGTTCCCAAGAAGCCAAGAGCAGTCACGGTGCTTTGGGATGGGTCCAACGACCAACTGTCTCCCTGCGCTGAAGGATGGGGGTTTTGGCACTTTGGGAGTTTGGATTTGCAGGTTACAGTGACAGCTGGGAACGGGGAGGAAGAAGGGAGGAAGGAGAGCAAAGAAGGGAAGAAAAGAAAGAGGTACAAAGGTGTTGGGCTTGTGCTGAATAGGGATGGACACACACCCAGTGCAGGATGGAGGGCATTTCCCTCCAGGGTTTGTGGTCCTTCCCAGAGCCCCGGTGGCGTTGGTGCAGCCAGTGCCCTGCAGTCTGGCTCATGCTCTTCCCTACCTTTTTGAAAAGTAGCTCACAGGGTATTTCTTAGCATTTTTGAGGACTATCATCATCACCACCCTTATCCACCGTTAAACTCTCTCAATTAAGTCCTTTGCAATATGGCAAGGAAAAGACCTCCTTCCAGCAGCAGAAGTGGTTTTGAGGTCTGGCTGCACCGCAGGACGAAGCACACCCAGGAACTGATCCCACCATGTCCCATCCAGGTTTGGATTGCCATCGCTATTTCTCACTCCTAATAGCTTCCCAAGTCTGACAAACAAGTTGTTGTCGGCTTTGTTTTTAAAAGAGAAATATATATCAAAGAGCAGCATTTCACTGGAAAGGCATCTCTGGAATGGGAAATGCTCCTGTGTCCTGTCTTCTGATGCTGTGTGTAAAAAATTCATAGAGGGGGTCGGCTTCCCCATCGGTGCAGCAGCTCCATGGTCTGGTGAAGCAGGAGCTCAAGGACTCCTCTGGAGATCTCCTCCTCAGCCACTCTGGGATCGCTTTTCTCCGCCACGATGCCCTTACCCTCACCCACGCGTGCTGGTAACTTGCAGAGGGATCTCAAAAAAGGGAATTTTCCAAACTGAATAAACCCTCCCTGTGATGAAAGGCAGAAGAAAAGGAGACAAAACAGAGGGATGGGTTTCATGGTGACAGATAGTTGTGTGAATGCCAGAGCACTTTCAACCTTCATCAGTAAAGATGTGAACACAAAGAGGTTTTTTAATCACCTCTTTCTTTAAAGTTTGTTTCACAGACAAGCTGGCTCCCTGGGACAGAAATAAGCAGTGGAAAAATGACAATTCATGCATAGCAATAACAGCACATCTCCTGGGGGTCTGGTGTGTGCTCTGCCCCCAGCCCTGCGCACCCTCACTGCCCTGGGAGAGCAAACCCCTCGGTGTGGAACCTCAGAGGCTGCAGAGACAGACACACGTTGGAGAGAAGGTGTCAAAAAAAAGCTCTCATTTCCCGGTTAAATGTTACTGATGCTAATATGCCATCTGAGAGGCTGCAGAGACAGACACACGTTGGAGAGAAGGTGTCAAAAAAGCTCTCATTTCCCCGATAAATGTTACTGATGCTAATATGCCATCTGATTTCCATGACTCGATTTGGGGACACAGCTGTCCCCACTGTGTAATTGCAACGATGCGTATCTAAACTGGTACCAAAGTGCAAATTCCTCCAGGGGAGGGTGGGATGAGCCTGATCGACATCCAGGGGAGATTTCTTCTGTCCCTACAGATTAGGAATGACACCCTCATCGTTAGCACCTCATTTTCTGGGTTTATTTGATTTATTCCAGGACAAACGGGAGCCTCCATCTCTCCCCTTGGAGAAGCAGCACAGGCTGGCCCGGGGAGGGATGCTCTGCCCACACGTCTGTGCCCCACGGTGGAGACACTTCTGCTGGTCTCCAGGCTGATTCCTGAGCAGGAGCCAAGCGCATCAGTGCGAGCACTGGGTTCCAGACGTGCCTGCAGGGGAGGGGCAGCAAATTCCTGAACCGTTTCAGCCATCTGCTGCCTCTTGGAGTCAGGGGCATCTCTGTGTCGAATTTGGCTGGGACCATCTCAAGACAAACTGCAGGGAGACAGTGTGTATTAAGCATAAATTTGTTTTTGTTTTAATGACTCAGGCATGATTATCACTCTGTCATTTGTGGCAGATCGCAGTCTCTGAAGGTGGGAGATGCTGTCAATTATGTAGCAATATTTAATCAACCAGCTAAAAAGGAATATCCTCCTCGCTCCAGGTTTAGTGTATGGAAGAGCTACCTGTGTGCAAGAAGGTGCCGTCTTTAAGGAACCCTTTAATGTACTCTTCAGAGATAAAAAGACATTTCATGGAATAAAACTTAAGTGGATCAGATAAAAATAGCAAAGCGAGCCAACAAAGTTATCTCATCCCAGACGTACTGACATGCCTCCCAGAGCGGGCAGCAATCCAATCCTTGCATCTGGATTTCTTGGTTCATTAGAACGATAAGGAGCATCTAACAAAATCTAGGAACCTAAACAATCCTCTAACAACATCTCAGCATCCCTACAGCTCTCCTAAGAAGCTGCAGACAGGTTTCGTAGCATGGTTCTCCACATCCAGTGTTTTGGCTTATGTTGTCTTGAGATTTTTCATGAATTGCAAATAAATGCATGAAGTGAGGAGTGACAGTGGTCCAAGACTAAAGAGATGCATGTATAATGGGCTGTGATGTGACATGGGCTATAGCATATTCCTTGTAGCTCAAGGAACCCCTTGAGTGTTACAGTGAAAATGTCTTGAACTGGGTGTTCAATAAAACCATGGTATTTTTATAATATGGAATTATGGGGATGTAATAAAACTACGGGATACTAAATTTTAGAAAGAAGGAATTAAAGCTGGTCTGTAGAACAAGGAACCCCACTGGGAAGAGCGGATCCCAGCACTGGGTCTTTGGTGGCTGACATAATCAGTCCACACAGAAACTGTAATTATTTGGATGAGACTTCTTGGAGAAGACAGAACTTCTCCATCCCTCCTCTGTCCAGCTTGTAAAACTGTGTGCAATTCTGCGAGTCGCAGGAGAAAACATAAATGAGATGCTGAACAGAGGAAATCTAGCTGGGCAAAGGAAACTCCAAATTGGTCCCTCTAGGACCTTCGAGCTAAAATAATAAACAGCAGAAACAGAAGCAAGTGGCAGGGAGCCACACGCATACAAAGCATGTACAAAGCACCCCGTGAGTCAGACCAATGGCCTGTTTCCCCACGGTGAGCAGCTCCGAGCAGAGGCGACGGGCCCAGCGGAGCCGGCGGCAGGCCGTGGTGCTCGGGCACCGCTCTGTGATGTGGCGCTACGCGGGGCCCAAAAACCCAGGAAAGGGCCAGCTGCTAAATGACATCCAAAGCTCCGGTTCCCTAAACACCAGGAGGCTGCAGAAGCTGTTTGTCTCTTAGCCCGAAGGCTTCACATCACAGAGAAGCTCCCCAGAAGAGCCGTCCTCCAGGAGGGTTATTCGCTTCTTACTCACTCCCTGCTTGAAGGCGGAACAACTTTCAAGTGCAGACCCCTCTTCCAGTACAAAGCAGCCTTAAAAAGCCACAATTACCCTGGCCTCTTTTTAAAGGTATGGAATATCTGCAGAATTCATGTTCAAGCCAAATGCTTCTCAAAAATAAAGTAGGGAAGGAAGCGGGGAGGGGAGGAGAGCTCCTGGCCCCCTTGCTCCAGATACCCCAGGAGAGGAGTTGGGCTGCCCCCAGGTCTTCACCCTTCCTGGGGGCTTCTACAGCTTCCCTGCCCGTGTCTCTGAGCCTTGTGTGTGTGTGTGTGTTCAGGAAATGCTGAATTACCTTGGTACCCAGGACGTGAGCTGTGGCTCTTCCAGCACCTGGCTGCCACTGGCTGGGGAGAAGCCATGGAGAGTGGGCTCAGGTGGGAGCTCTGGGCTGGGACCTCCACGTCTGGCATCCCCAGTCCCTCCTTCCCAGGCACATAAAGAGAAACTCAGGAGAGCTTATAGCTGAAGTATAATTCTGACCCTCTAGAAAGGTCTTGGTTTGGCCCCTGTACCTACACAAGGATTAATCCATATTCAGGCTCTGGGGCTCCAGGAGAGGAGCCCATGGGTGACCAACACCTTCTATGAACATGTACCAGCACTTAGGAACATATGGGGTATTTATTCTATGATTCTATGATTTACACGTGGCAAATGCACTGTGTAAGCCAGGTCAAAATGTTAGCAATCAAATCATCTGCTTGCTTATCTGTATATGACCTGCTTCACCTACCCCTTCTAGGTTGGGTGATTTCCTTTGTTTTATTACCAAGATAGCACGTTTCCTGAAATATATTAGAGATAGATTTGTCCTTCTGCTGAAGCAAGAGAGAAACATCAGGACGAGGAAAACTATACTCTGCTAAGCTCTGCCATCTCTTATTTATCTAACAACCCTGGCAAATTACTCTGGATAAACAATAATTGAGATTTGTCCACGTTAAATTTTGCAAATCACTTTATAAATCACCTTTGGTACAAAGTATGGTTTCTGCTCTCTATCTGGGTGGTGAAAACTCTGAATAATGAATGACAGCCAACGAACAGCAAACAGCTCCTAGAGATAATGCCGCAACATGCACACAATAATTTGGAATTTGTAAACATTTCAGTGAATACTAATGATGGTCTGAATAGCTAGAGATTACAAATAATGCCAGATCACAAACAGTGGCAGAATGAATGTGGTCTGTGAGGTTATTAAAGTGGGGGGTGGGGGGGAAAAAAACCCTTTCTCTGTCACATCTGAGACGATACGCACAGAATTCAGGTGCTCTTGGCTGCGGCCGCGCTGCAGCTGCACAGCTGGGCTGCTCCCTGCCCTGGGGGGAATTCACTCGGGGGTGTCAGCAAATCTGACCTTCCTCCCAGCAGGGCTGAACCCATGGGAAGTTCCTCAAAGCCTCCCACGTTCCTCAAAGCCTCCCACGGGTGCATCACAGCCCCCAGGTGTTATCCCACAGCAGCATCCTTCTCTTCTCCCACCTGCAACATCCTCTGCTCTCCCATCCGAGCATCCTCTCCTCTCCCACCTGAGCATCCTTCTCTTCTCCTCCCCGAGCATCCTCTGCTCTCCCACCCGAGCATCCTTCTCTTCGCCCACCCGAGCATCCTTCTCTTCTCCCACCCGAGCATCCTCTGCTCTCCCACCCAAGCATCCTTCTCTTCTCCCACCTGAGCATCCTCTGCTCTCCCACCTGAGCATCCTTCTCTTCTCCTACCCGAGCATCCTCTGCTCTCCCACCCGAGCATCCTTCTCTTCTCCCACCCGAGCATCCTCTGCTCTCCCACCCAAGCATCCTTCTCTTCTCCCACCCACAGCATCCTCTGCTCTCCCACCCGAGCATCCTTCTCTTCTCCCCCCTACAGCATCCTCTGCTCTCCCACCCGCAGCTCCCACGAGCCCACAGTGACATCCTCCGTCGGGACGCGGCAGCAGCGGGGACCCAGCCTCCCGTGGAGTGGAGTGGCTTGGGGACACTTGTCTCCCTGAGGAAGGGGACACTCCGTGTCAAGCACAGCCTGCCTGCACCGCCCCCGCGAAAAGAAAGCCTGGATTTAATCGTGGAGGCAGCAGGTTGTCCCAGCACTGGGCAGGTTAAGGGACAGGATGAGGCTGGTCCTTGCTGAAGGCCACCTTTTATGGGTGCCACCAAAGGCCACCCCTGCGGGAGCGCTGGGCGAGCTCCCTGCCTGCGCCGCACGGCGCTGAGAGGTGCTCTCACCTCCCGGCTTTGCTGGCTAGAAATGATTTACTGTGATTTAAAAGAGCCCTTTCAGCCTCCTCCCAGCAGGATCAGCATCTGCTATCAAGATAGTGGCTGTGGTAGTGGGTTTGAAGAGGGATTCTGCGAGGCTGTAACAGTTCCTGATGTGAAAATGGCTTTTGGAGTAATCAGAAGGCGGCAAACCCCCTGGGCATTAGTTTCATGCATGTTTCTGGGTTTGCACAATTTTCTTGCTCTGCTTTTTTTAATCCCTGTACTTCAAAGACATACACAATTTATCAGACTTCCCCAGAAAGAAAGGCGCTTGGCCAGGCTCTCCGGGCAGTATCCTTCCCTGGTTTGCAGTGTTGCTGCCCCACACGTCCCCATCCCGTTCTCCAGGGTGGTGGTTGTGGTGAACTTACCCTCCCCCAGTGACAGGACACCCGTGAAGACGTCTCCACTCCTGTGGTCTGGAGCAGGCACTGCACCCAGGGGTGTGATCGTGGGGGGTGACTTCATCCTGGAGCATCACCAACTGCAGAAAGTATTCAAACAAAAGTTATTCTCCTTAGATATGAAAAGCTAAGCAAGCAGAGGGAGGAGGAGGCACTAATCACCCCCCTGGAGCTGGGGACCGTGGGCAAGGACTCCTTGGTTTGTGGACCAAGTGGAATGGCCACTGGGGAAAGAGTTGCCCGCTCCCAGGGAGCTTTACCTCTTCCTCCTGCTGCCAGGGAGGGGCAGGGGCAAAAGCAGCCCCCTCCCTGCTCCGCCTGCCCGGCGAGCTCTCCTGGCTGCCCCCTGAGTAAAAGACAAGCTGAGCCTTGACCCCCGCTCCCCACTGAGGCAGAGACCCCCAGGTAGGAACCATAAGTGCTCCCCACGGCCTCTGTCGTGGGGGTGATGCACTGGGGAGATGCAGGGGTGCTCCTGTGGGAGAATGCAGGGTTAGTCTGGGAGGATTCAAGGATGTTCCCGGGTTGAGAGGGAAGGAGGAAGGTAGGGATGCTCCTGGGGGATGCAGGGGTGCTCTGAAGGATGCTTTGGGGGATGCAGGGCTGCTCCGGGGGACCTCAGGATTGCTCTGGAGGGGTGCAGACATGCTCTGAAGGGATGCAGGGTTGGTTTGGGTGGACTCAGGGATGCTCCAGGGGAATTCAGAGTTGCTCCAGAGGGATGCAGGGGTACCCCGGGGGATTCAGGGTTGCTCCAGAGGGATGCAGAGTTACCCCCCGGGGGATTCAGGGTTGCTCCAGAGGGATGCAGGGATGCCCCGGGGATTCAGGGTTGCTCCGGAGGGATGCAGGGATGCCCTGGTGGATTTAGGGTTGCTCCAGAGGGATGCAGGGGTGCCCCGGGGGCACTCGGGGATGCTCTGGGGGATTCAGGGTTGCTCCGGAGGGATGCAGGGGTGCCCCGGGGGATTTAGGGTTGCTCCAGAGGGAAGCAGGGGT